CAGTATTATTGCACTGTGGTCTATTTGATTCTTAAAATTCACAAGGGATTGTTTGATGTATGTAGGTGATCTATTGTTTGGAATATAGGTATTTATGATTTTTATGACTTATTGATGTATAGTTCCCTTAAACAGTATGAAATGTCCTTCTGTCCCTTCTGATTAACTTTGGCTTGAAATCCACTTTATCTGGTATGAGGATAGAAAACCCTGCTTCTTTACCAGATCCATGGGAATGATACATTTTTTGCCCATCCTTTTACCTTCAGTCTGTGGATGTCTTTGCATATGAGTTAAGTCTCTTGAAGACAGCATATTGTTGGGTCTTGCTTTTTGATCTAATATGCCAGTCTGTGTCTTTTGATTGATGGGTTCAGACCATTTACATTCAATGTTATTATTGAGAAGTGATTTTTATTCCCTTCCATTTTGATTTATTTCTAATTTTTACTTTGAATTAGTTTTTCCTTTGATTGACCATTCTTCTAGTGTAGTTCGTACCGTTACTGGTTTTCAATTTTATTTTTTATTTCTTCTTCATGAAATATTTTATTGAATATTTTGTGCAAGCTTTCTAGTTGTGGATTCTTTTAACTTTTGTTTATCATGTAATGTTTTTATTTCATTGTCAGTTCCAAAGCTTAATTTTGCTGGTTATAGTATTCTCAGATGACTTTTCTTTCAGAGCCTGGTATATATTTTTCCAAGAATTTCTACCTCTGGGTTGAGAAATTTCTGGGTTGAGAAATCAGCTTGGTCTGGATTGGTTTCCCTCTAAATGTTACTTGCCACTTTTTTTGTAGCCTTTAAAATTCTATCCTTATTTAGTATGTTTGGCATTTTCATAATAATTGCCTTGGTGTGGGTATGTTGTAATTGTTTATAGTTCTGGTCCTGTAAGCCTCCTATATTTAATTATCATTATTTAGGTTTGGCAAATGTTCATATTATTTCATTGAGAAGATTGTGTATTCTTTGGTTTATATCTCTTGAGTTTTCATCTATCCCAATAAACCTTTTAAACAAATATTTTTATTAGTTGTTGAAGGACCTTTATTTTACTTATTTATATGCAGTGCTGAGAATCAAACCCAGTGCCTCACAGACATTAGGCAAACGTGCCACAAACCCAGCCCCTCAATAAAGTGTGGTGTTTTCATATTATTCCTTTTTTCTTGGAAATTCTGTTCATGGTCTCTTAACATCTTTTATCCATGGTCAGGTTGTTTTCAAGATTATATATTTTGTTTTCATTGCCTGAAACTCTGTATTCCAAGTTATCTAGTCTTCTGGTGATGCTTTCCTTTGCATTCTTAATTTGGTTTATTGATTGCTTCATTTTGAGGATTTCTGCTTGATTTTTTTTCACAATCTTTTTTTATTGAAGTGATCTTTCACTTACTGTATTTTCTCTCTGATTTCACTCCTTACATTTTCTTTTACTTCACAGATCAGTTTGACAGTGTACATTTTAAATTCCTTCTATGACATTTCTTCCACCATGATGTTGTGAGATTGTTCTTGAAGTATGTTGGTATGTTTGAGGTGATTTTTTTCCCTTGCTTTTTCATGTTATTTGTGGGTCTACCCATCTAGCAGTATGAATCTGTGGTGGTGGAGTTTCTACCCTGTGAATTTTAGTGACCTTGAAGGTTTCTAGTACTTAACATGCTGAGAAGTTTTCTTGGTTTCACTCTGTGGAACACCCAGAAAAGCAACTTCCTCTATTCTTCTATCTTGAAAACCTCCTAATTGTTATTTTGTATCTTGATAGTTAGTGGAATTTGATTTGTGGTACTAAGAGAGTTTATTCTTGGGTGTGAGTGTGTGTATATATTTTATGTTTCTTTACTTATGTCTCCTATGAATAGAGAGAATTGTTTTTCATTTGTAGTTAGATGTCTTTGCATAAAATTTTCTTGACTAAATACTCAAACAAGGGTTTTTAATACTATGTAAAAGACAATTATGTTCTTGTTCTTAGAAGAAAATTTTCTACTCTTTATAACTTCATTATGATGATTGCTAGAGGAATTTTATTATCTTAAAGTACTTTCTTTCTATTCCTTGTTTGTTGATTGATTTTGACATGAATGAGTGTTGATTTCTGTCAAGTGCAATCTCTACATGATTTGAAAGGACATCATTTTTCTATATTTTTTTGTTATTCATTGTGTTCTTGTAATGTTCTATTGACTGGTGCTGTTGAACTTAGTTTACTAGTATTGGATTAAAGAATTTGGCAATACCATGCAATTTCTCTACACTCAGTGTAGAAACTAAAACAGCTCCCTTTTTCCATATGCTCCTTTGCCATTCCCTTCAAACAAATATTTTCTCATATATTTCTGTGTAAATGAAATTTAAAATGTTGATAGTGTGTTCAATGCAATGATTAACACAAACAATGCAGATTAGTCCGATTATAATTATAGTGCCTAGGGCTGGGGATGTGGCTCAAGCGGTGGCGCGCTTGCCTGGCATGCGTGCGGCCCGGGTTCGATTCTCAGCACCACATACAAACAAAGATGTTGTGTCCGCCAATAACTAAAAAATTAATATTAAAATTCTCTCTTTCTCTCTCTCCCTCTCTCAGTCTCTCTTTAAAAAAATAATTATAGTGCCTATTTCTGGCTTTGTTATTAGGGTAATGCTCATCTCACAGAAATGTTCCCTCCTATTCACTTTTAGAAGTGTTCAATGAAGATTAATTCTAATATTTCAAATGCTTGATAGAATTAACAAATCATGGTTAATTGCATTTTATTTTCAGGAGGTTCTTGATTACTGATATATCTCCATACAAATTATTGGTCTGACCATATTTTTTCATTATTTTATGATTCTTTATGGTACTATATATGTTTATAGGAATTTATTTTTTGAGATTTTTCAGTGTCTTGTGTAAAATTGTCTATAATATTTTCTTCATTTAGTTTATTTCTTTGGACTTCAGTTGAAATGTGTTTTTTATTATATTTGTTATTTGAATTTGCTTTTTGTGTATTTAGATAGGAGTTTGTCACATTTGTTGAATGTAAACTCATTTTTTATCTGATTAAATTTGATTCTGAATTTCATCAATCACTTCTAATATTTATTATTTCTTTACTTTTACAACATTTGGAGTTAGTTGGTTCTTTTTATAGTTCCAAGAGTGGTAAAATACTAAAACATATTGAGCTCTTTCTCATGTAGTTGTTTATTGCTATAAAACTGTGTCTTAGCATAGCTTTTATAGAAACCCATAAGTTTTCATTTGTGCTATTTTTTTTTCATTATATCAAGATGTTTATAATTTTCCTTGGGATGTCTAATTTGATGTATTGGTTAACATTCTTTTTTTAAAAAAATTTTAGGTATTGATGGACATTTATTTTTTTATTCATTGTATGGGATGCTAAGAATATAACCCAGTGCCTCACAAATGCTAGGCAAGTGCTCTACCACTAGCTACAACTCCAGCCCCAATTGGTTAACATTCTGATATTTAATACTGACTTAATTGTTGATTTTGCAATTATCCTTAAATATTCATTTCAACTTTTATTCCTTTCTTAACTTTTGTGATCAGAATATATATTTTAATTATATTTAATTCTAAAAAGAATTAAAGATTATGTTGATGCCTATGCATTGTCTCTATTGGATTAATTCATTGAATTTAATAAAGAAATAAGAGAAAATAACAAAATGCCCAAGAAAAAATTGAGATGCAACTATGAAACAGCTGAGAAAAACAAAGTAGATATAATAAATGTAAAGATAATCTGTTTTCATGGAATGGTAGAAATTATAGTTGAATATTTATATGACACTAAGGTTTAAAGATTCACTACAGTCTTTAAACTGTAAACACATGCACTTTATTAGTTGTTGAGTGGCTTACAAGTCATTAGTATTTTATATTATAATGCAGAAAGAAGACGGACATGTGGTATGGGTTGTTCTGGGGCTGTGTCAGTGATCACCTGAAAATAACTAGTAAAAGAGGAGGCAGGATTCCACAGTAAATATAACTCTGTAAACAAAATTACCTTCATGTGGGAGGGTTTTGTTTTTGAAAATTGGACAGAATGGGCAAGGGTACAGTGCTTAAGCAGAAAAAAAAGTAAGTAATTCAACCCACAATAGGATACACATTACAAGGTTTCAGGGTTCATATGATATATGTGGAAAAAGAGGTGTTCCTATTCATTACCCAATCATGAGCATGTTTATAGGCCAGGCTCATGGTACAGGAATGATCTGTGAGAGGATCACCCTACTAGAGAGGGCACTGCATGGTTTGGCAATTCTGCATGGCTGCTTGGTTTTCTTATATTACAGTACCAGATGAGCAGGAGACTAGGGCTTGGTGAGGGGGAAAATGCTTTTGTTGTCCATGTGAATACGCTGTAACTATCAGCAGGCCTTGAAGGTGTGTGTTTGCTGGAGGAAATAATACACTTGACCCAATTTATTCTGAAATTAAAAGAGGCCAAGGTTAGGGATAGAGATGATCTAATGAACTAGAGAATAGGTAGAGTCTAGGAATGGTCTTGTAAAGGAAGGAGATGCAGTGATGCAGCAAAATGGCCCATTTGGATAAAGAGAGGACAAGCTAGAGAAGAGATTCACTTAGGAAGCAAGAAACCAGGGACACATGGGGGACAGCAGGTGTTAGCTCTAGAAGCCCAGGTACCATAAACCCTGGAAACACTTGGAGGTATAAGGCTGATTGGAGAGGACTTGAACTGACCTGTTTACTTCAGGAGAAGACTGGACAAGTGTGGAGAGAGGGACTGAGAGCAGGCAAGAGAAGGTATGGGGATGTACAATCACTAAAAGGATGTGGAGCACCAGTGTTCCCTGTGACACATCCCAAGGAACAGGAAGTGAAGTCTGCGGAAAACAATGCTTCCATGGCCCTGTGGACCAGGATGCTGGCATGGGAGAGGAGAGCCGTGGCCCGGGGCCTTTGTTCTCATGGTTGCTTGTCATCTGTGTGCACTCTTCAGGACGAGGTGGTGGGAGAGGGAGGCGTGCCTGGTGGCTGACTGGAGCATGCCCACCTGTGCTGA